AGCAGAGTCATTCAGAGCACCTGGGTGAAGCACCTGTTTCAGGCAAGTCTTGCCCACAGGCACAGGTAGCCTCTCAGAAGGATGGCAATGATTAACTCAGTCCACAAAGAGTTCCAACAACACAGTGAAATCAAGGCTGCAATGAATAAATTAACAAATGCTCTGGAAATGCCGAGTTTCTTTATGATATAGTTGGCTGTTCTGCCCAAAACTCACCCTAATCATGTGGCTGTTGGTGTGAGTCACATGGCTCATGGCAATGCTTTAAGAAGCTGAGGGTTAGATGTCCTTCTGTGGCCTCTATCTGTCCATCCTCTGTAAACCTTCCTTGACTCCCCCTTGGTAATGATCCCTGCCCCTGCCTAGTCTCCTTCTGTGAACCTGGTACACCTGCAGGCCTGGAGAGGAGATGCCAGGCCTCACCTCATCACAGCTCACTTCCCCATCATGGCTCATTCTCCTACCATATCTACGGTGTGACCAATTCTGGTTTGGCTCTGAGATGCCAAAGCAAGACAGGCAAGTATCCACTCCCAACCGCATATGCAAAGAGCTTGGTCTCTGGGCAGCTGCTTATACAGACATGAGGCATGTACCATCCCCTATGGCTTGGGTGATGCTAAGGCAACACACAGCAGTGTTCTCTCCAGGTCGTGTCTTTAGGCCACAGCTGGAAGGGACATATGTCATACTGTCCCTGAACAAAGTTAATACTTTAAAAAAAATTTTATTATTTTTATTTTATGTGTACGAGTGTATTGCCTGCATGTATGTGAGTGCACCCCTGTCGTGCAATGCCACGGAGGTCAGAAGAGGGCTTCAGATTGCCCGGAACTGGAGTTAAGGACGGTTCGTAGCTGCCATATGGGTGCTGGAAATCGAGCCCAGGTCCTTTGCAAGAGTAGTCACTGCTCTTAACCCCTGAGCCATCTCTCCAGCCCCAGAAATACTTTTATGTTTTAAGAGGAATAAAGAATAGGTTGGGATCAGATCTTCTGATGATAAACTGCACCAGTTGCTCTCAGGTGTCCATCCCCAAAGAGGGCACCACCAGCAAGAGGCACTTGCTGGGTCTGGTGTGCAATAAGAGCAGCTAAGCTGCTGGGTCCAGCACCTCCCCTCCAGGAGATCCTGTGTTCTTCCAGCAGCCCAACTTACAAAGCAACTGAGTCTGGTGTGACCTTTGCTCTAAATGACTTCCACGCCCCTTCCATCCCACCAACTTGTGACTGAAGCACCACTACTCTATCCCAGAGACACAGGGACAGTTTCCTTTTCTAGTCAGCAACAGCCTCTGTTTTGGAAAGCATGGTTGGTCCATTATGTACCAAGCAGAAGTTTGAGGCTAGACATTTGATATAGCCAGGCCAATAGCAAGAGGCAGGACCCAGACTCCAGGCCTGCTGAAAGCAAGTATAGTCTGTGGGCTAAAACATAGTCCCCCAAATAACAGTACAGATCAGCATTTAGAATCAAAGGCCTAAAATGAAGAGGGGTTGTCCCCATGTTGGGGAGCACAATGAAGGGAAAGCAATGAGGTAGCCTACTTCCCCAGCCTGGGTGTATCTAAGCTTCAGTGCTCAGCCCAGGAGAAGGTATCTGGACCTTGAATGTATATCTGGGCAGGAAGTAGGGCCTCAGTGAACACATAACAAGAACAGATGTTCATAAATCAGGACAGAAAAGCCATACTGATTGCACAGAGATGGTGGGCAGAGACAATAGTCCAGAGTCTGGAAGGGGAGGTATATCATATCAGCACAGGTATCTAGCAGTCAGCTCAGTAGACTGCACCCTACTGCAGCCACAGGCAGGCAGGTAGGCAAGCAGGCAATCTAGAGTATTCGGAGTATTCACACAGGGCAGAGCTGGGGCTGGGGAGAATAAGATTCTATCAGCAGGCAAGGAAGGAGAAATTGGGTGGCACCAGGCAGAAGTAATAGCTTCTCTGAGGTCCTGTCTCCATGCCCCACCTGACTATGGAAGCTGGAGGCGCAGGATTATTCCATGTAGACCTGCACTGTCTATGTTACACACTGCTGCTCACTGGGTTAAGACAGGGCCCAGGAAGGCTGTGGTGCCATTGGAACTACATCTAGTATTCTCCAGGCAAGAAACCTGTCCCTCTCCTCAGCTCCTGAGTACAAGGGTTAGTGACCCAATGACTAAGTCTAGCCCTACATTTCCAATTTCCACTTTTTAAGTGCTTCTCTAACTTGATGGATTCCCCACACTAGACCTAAGTTAGCTCTGCTCCACAACTAGCACATAGCTCACCTTCCCACACCCATATCTGACTTCTCAAAGCCATTTCTGCTGACTTGGACTCCAGCACATTGCCACAGCTTGTGGGAACTGCAGCACCATAATGATATAGCGGCTGACAGTTGTACAAATTACCAAAAGCCTAGCTAATAAGACCAATGCATTTGCTGTAAGAACGCTGTTTTATCTGTAGTTAAGCCCAACATATCCTTGGATAACTCAGCTGACAAAAGTGCAAACCTATCTAAGGATGGCAGATGTATTGACAGAATCTACAGATGAAAGAAAGCAGGTCAGCTCAATTCTCCATCCCTGTCAGAACATCCTGGAAAGAATCCAAGCAATTCCAGCTCAGAAGCACAGAGAAGAGAAGTGGCGATTACAACTACAGTCTCACTGTGCCTCCCAGATGTAAAAACTAAAGCAAACAGAATGAACTTTTAGTTTTCATTGCCCAGAAATGAGGCACCTGCCTATTAGGTGCCAGGCACTATCACATTTTCTTACCACTGGCCACCCCCTACCCCATCTCCCATGCTCTATCTTAGTTGCTTAGATGGAAATACTAGTTCTTAAGTCTCTTAAGATGTTCACCAGACCAGCTGCTGCTCTCTGAAATGGCTGGGGGACACACACTAACTGCATACAAAGTGTCAAGAAATGTTTCTCTGGCTGCCAGAGTGAACCTTATGCCAACCCACATCAGGACCTGGGACCAAGGAACTGGGTACCAGAACCAGCTTGCCACAACTCCTCAACACTGTAAACTTGGTCAGGTCACAAACTGTGCCTAGACCTTGACTATAAAATGAGGACTTCTAGGGTCCCTTGCTGAGCAGAAAGAAAGGCTGTTACAATTGGAAGTAAGAAAGATAAAGAGAAAGAGAGAGAAACAGGAAGAGAAAGAGAAAGAGAGAGCGAAGAGAGAAAGAAAAGGAAGGAAGGAAGGAAGGAAGGAAGGAAGGAAGGAAGGAAGGAAGGAAGGAAGGGAGGAGGGAGGGAGGGAGGGAGGGAGGGAAAGACCATGAGGCCAATTCACCTTCATCTGCAGGCACCATGGTGCTGAAAGCACAAAGGAAACACATGGGTCAGGGACCCATGTTAGGTGAGGAGGAACCAGCAGATCATTGTGCCTTATCTTAGGGATCTCCTAATGGTGGCTCCCCAATACTTTCTACTTGGAGAATAGGGGAGGGTCTATGCATAGGTCAACTGCCTGCTTCTTAACTCCCTTGCTTCCTACTGCCTAGCAAATCTGACCTAGAGGCAGAATCCATAAGGGATCACAGAGAGCAGGCGAGAGACCAGTCAGAAGGCTGCTGTAAGCATGACTGAGCCACAAATGTTACAGTTTTAAAACAAAACCAGAGGCATACCCATGAGCTGTTTCCAAAAAAAACCAAAAAACAAACCAAAAAACAAACCAAAAAAAAAAAAACCCCAGAATAACATGTGAGATATTAAGAGGAAAACTCTGGGGGCTGGAGAGATGGCTCAGCGGTTAAGAGCACTGACTGCTCTTGCAGAGGACTAGGGTTCGATTCCCAGCACCCACATGGCAGCTACCAACCAACCTTAACTCCAGTTCCAGGGGAATCCTAAGCCCTCTTCTGACCTCCATGGCTTTGCATGATATGGGTGCACTCACATACATGCAGGCAATACACTCATATACATAAAATAAAAATAATAAAATATTTTTAAAAAGAGGAAAACTCTGTTTTAGTTTTGCGCCAAATATTGAAAAATAAAAATAAAAAATGGAGCAGTGGTTTAGATGGTAAGTAGGAGATTTCGGCTTTAGACACACCATGCTTCAGGTTGATAGCACAGAAAGTACCCAGCATAGTGGACACAGACTAAAGGCAGAGACCATAAAGCAGAAAGTTTATTTTTAAAGACATGGTGGTGGTGGTACTTCTGTTGACTTCTGTTCATTCCGCTCCCAGAAATAATGTGGAAAAAATATAAAGAAAGACAGCAAATAATGAAATATCAGAAATAAAAAATATCCCAAGAAATACTAAGTTAAGCATGATTGTGTGTGCCTGTAATCCTAGTACTTGAGAGGTCAAGGCAGGAGGACTGCTTCCCGTTCATGGCTAGCCTAGGCTACATAGCAACACCCTGTTCTAAACAAATGAACAAAAGAAATACTGCAAAATTATTTAACAAAATTTGACTCCTGTCTCTAGCAACCCCAGAATCAGATGAGAGCAATAAACTAGCACCCTCATACAGACTGCAAGAAAGAAGCCTTCTGAAAGCAATTTGGCAATATGCATGCAGAGTCAGAATGTGACCTGTAATACTACTTATAGGAACGTATCCTGAGGAAATGTTCCAAAGAAAGCAATAAGCATATAATGAACAACTGAGGATTTGGTTGTGGGAACGCTTAATATCTACAACAGCAAGAAATTGAAGCTGTCATGGAGAAATTAAGAGCATTATAGGCCCTAATGTAATCACTGTACAGGCATTAAAATGTTCATTATGAAGACAGTGTGGTAACAGGGAAATCTGTTTTTCACTCATTTGCCATAATTTTAAGTGGAAAAGAAAGAGCAAGATATATGATTATGCAGACGTTATGATTATAAGTTCAGTGTTAAGATGGCAGGATTTTGGATACATCTTTTTCCCGTCAGTTTTCAAATGTACCATACTGCTTTGGATTAAAAATAAGTGAGGATGTTAAAATCAGCTGGGGGGAGGTAGGGGGCTGGCAATACCTTCGCTCCATCAACGCTGATGATCCGGTAGCTGTTCCTGGTGACATCATAGAAGTAGGAAACAGTGACTGCCTGCTTGCTTGCAGGGACCCAGTTCTTCTTGGTGCTGGGGTCAATCTGGAAGACGTGCGCTCGGGTGGTGAAGATGGGCTGTTCTCTGCAACAGGACAGATGTGCATGTGAGTTGATGGAACCTGACCTAATGTATAATTTATGATTTCTAGGCCACCCACTGCCTCAAAAGATTTTAAATAGCTTATTGGCAAAGATACATATGCATGAGGACAATTAAAAAAAGGAGAGAGAAGAGAGGAGGAAAGGAGAGAGAGACCCCGGGAACTTTTGCAACCCACACTCCATTTAGCTAAGACCTCCTTGAGGCTGCTGGGCAACTGGCCTAATGAGCAATTTGCTTAAAAAAATAACTCCTCCTTAAGAGGTTTTATACCCCTGTCAAGAGTCCTGTTCTTCTTCAGACACGCTGTTGGCGTTTTGAGGGACTTTGGGAACTAATTCATTTTAGGATTTTTTTTTTTAGCAAATTTATTTTAGGGAATTCTGCATTAATTTTAGGATTTCACAAGCCATTTGCAGCTTAATATATTTCTTCTAAGTATTTCTTAAATTTGTAGAATTAAAAATTTTTTTATTTTTTTATTTTATGTGTATAGAGTATATTGACTGCATGTGTTTAAGTGTACCCATTGTGAAGCAATGCTTTCAGAGGTCAGAAGAGGGCATAGGACTCCCTGAAACTGGAGTTTTGGATGGGTCCTCTGCAAGAGCAGCAGGCCCCTGCAGAATTGTTTTGAATAATAGAATAATCACCTTAGTTTGCTTTTGAAGCCATTTAAGGACTTAACTTGACTTTATAACTTGACCAGGCCTTCAAATTTATGTAGACCTGCCATGTAAAAACTTGGAGTTTTATGTAGAATTTTTCAAATTCACCTCTTCTGCTGGTCCTGAAATGTATTGCTACTTTTTTTATTCCGCATGCCTTTAAACTCTTTATGTGATTGCCAACCAAATTAACACATTATCTATGTTTCTTTCTGCTTAGTAGAGAATTAATCAGACCCTAACGATAGGCATTAATAAATAAGACAGATAAAAAGCATAACAGAATTCATTGTATGTTCATACTTTAAAATATCTGTTTAACAAAGTAACACAAATGAAATATAGACTCATCGCAAAACCTGCTTTTTGAAGAAAGGCTCTGTAGGCAATCTATCTCAGAAATCCTTTTAAGCGTTCAAAATAAAACAAAAATAGAAAAAAAGGCACCAGCATGTAAAAATAAATTCATAGGACACTACAGATTTAAAGCACTCATTAGAGATACAAAATTAAATCAAAGGGTTTAATTTTGGTTTTGTCAAATTAATTTTTAAAATCCTAACAATGACAAAAGACAAGACATAGAAGAACAGGGCACCCAAGAAGACACAGAAGCTCCAGGGAGTCGGTGGATGTCGAGTGTCTGCTCTCTCCATAGAGAAGTTTCAGGCAGAGAAGTCTCTGAGCCCCTTCTGCCTGCAGAAGACTCATTACTGGAAACAGAACTCTGAAGGGAAACTTTTATTCTAGAAAAACAATTAACTATTTGGGCCTCATGCAAGGGGTATCAGATAATATCACAGATATCAGCAAGTGCTAGAGGAACATGGGAACCCTCATGACAACTTCTAAAAGGGCACGCGAGTGCAGCGTCAATCCCTCTGCTTTTGAAGGCTGGTGTTCCAGAAGTGTGGCCGAAGACCAGCTTGCCCGGTTCCCTTCTAGGTCCCAGGGAGCAGGAGAAGTGACTCTAGGAGTGTGCACTGCTAGGCCATTTCCCTCAACCCCCAAGTTCACTTGCCTGATCCTAAACCCACACCCTTCCAGCAGCTAGGGGACAGCTGTAAAAACAAACAAAAGATTCTCGTAATGTCTCACATCTGTTGTTGGGGGCCAGGCTGTGCAGAGCATGTACACATATATATGATGTAGGGAAGTCTGACATCTAGATGGCCCAGCTGTGCCACTCACAACCCAGAACCAGAGTTTTCTAATCATCTAAGTACAACACTGAAAGAAAATACTTCCTTACACGATGTTCTGCATATGTGTACAGCAGTCACTCCAGAGCATTTTTGAAGAATAAAATTATAGCTCATCTCTGCTGCCCTCTCTCTCAGCACTGAAAGTAGTCCATAGGTCAGAGGGGAGCTCTTTTCAGGAAAGGAGCCCAGGCTTTCATATCTTCCACCTGTTTCTCGTAGTGAGGAAAAGGGATGGGTTTGGATACAAGCATGCAGAGTGCTTAAAACAGTTTCCTAAGCATCCATGATGGCAATTAGCTGGGAACTTACTAAAGACACCAGCTCCCAGGCCTATCGCAGCCCCCCAGCATCTGGCTCTTTGGTGAGGAGACCTGGGGGGATCTCCTTCAGCAAGAGTTCTAGGTGACTGTTATCCAGGAAGAAACTGGAGAAGTATTCTCCTTAGATGCCACTACAGGATCTGGCAAACAGTGGAGGGCATGGTCCCAAAAGCCAGCATCTTTCATCTAGAATGACACAGCAGACTGTCAACATACAATCTATCCCTCAAAGGTCTCCTATAGCTCTGGAGGCCTGCTGTCTACTTGACATGACTTGGGTCAAGGTGAGCACACAGACCAGAGGCCTCCATCTCCAAAGTTGCCTTCTCAGCTCTGCATATGGACTGAAGTCACTTTGAGTTGCCTTCAGGACCCCAACCAGAAATTCACAGATGTGGAGAGGCACATACAGGATCACATTTCAGCTAAGCCACACTCAGATTGTTGACCAACAGAACTATGTTAAATTTGTGATGGTTCCACAGCACTAGATAACAAATACACTGTCCTCACAGAAAGTTTAAGACACACCAAGGGGTTGGCAATATCCCCATCTGATCCTAACAGCTCTGTGTTGACAACATTATCCACATAGAGAGCCCAGGGTCACAAGATAATGTTAGGATACAAACTTTGACATCATTAAGGATAAAACTGGAGTACTTCTACCCAAAAGAAAAGTAGCCAGTTTCCTTCTTGGCTGAAAGTCAAAATGTTCCTGGGCCTTTTAGTAATGTACTCTGTCCCAAAGGCCAAAAATGTTAAAAGTATTTGGGAGCTTTTATCCCTAAAAGATTTTAGGGTTACCTCTTCAGAGGGACGAATGTTAGGGTATCAGTAAGCCCCATAAATTGAACTGGTCCAGACCATAAAAAAAGAAGTCTATCTGCTGGAGGAACTACTTTTTCAGTGCCACTGGTCAATTACCTGGTGATAATTCCTGGTCAGTTATCTGGTGCCATGAAGGCAGGTTCACCTTAAGTAATGCTAAACAAATGGGTGGAATACCTGGTGTGTTAATACGGTAGTGAATATTTCCTGTCTGGAACTAGCTCAGATCCCCCGCAGAACTTCTAGACCAGCCACAGCCATGTAGGTCTCTGTAAGTCTGCCCACTTTCCTGAACTCTTCAGGAAAGCGTAATTTCTTCTTTCCTTCTTCGTGCCTTTCTTTCTAAACATTCTTTCTTTAAAGCTTTGGGCTGCCCCTAGCATCTTGTGTTTCTTCACTTTTTCTCTAAATCTTCCTTCTCCCAGCTATGTGGCTGCAAATCGGCCAGGAGTCTGACCTCCATGTAGGCTCTAAAACCTGCATGGCTTCCTTTCCTTCTTCCCACTATTCACCTCCTCAAGGCAGCTGCCAAGATAACCAGCTCACCTAACCTGAGGATTTTTTCTTTAAGAGTCTAATAAAATTGTAAAAGCTTAAAAAAAAAAAAAACAAACCAAACTGGAGTACTTCTAACTCAGAGAAACAGACCCCAACTTTGACAGCTTTGACAGGCAATTTAGCCTCACCTGAAAAAGTGAAAGCGCTAAAATGAGGCCATGAGTGTCAGTTCCTATAAGTGTACAAATCAGAATAAAATAGAGTCAACAGAATCAGAGCTCCCCAATCCAGGAGGCCACAGTTCCCTCCCAGCAGGGACAAGGGGAAGAGTGTGTATGTAGAAAACAGAAAGCACTGTCAGATCCAATTTCATTCTTCTCTCTTTGGTGTTTGGTGCTCCAGGAGTATATTTCAAATATACCCCCATTCCTTCTTCTCAGCTTTAAATAGAAAGCAGATGTTTCCGGATGGCAAGACATTTCTTAGGGCAGACAATATAACCTACTGTTCCCTTACATAGTCTTTTAAGAGCTAAATAAACACCAATTGCTGCTCATTGAACACATTTTGGAACCTGACAGTAATTGTCCCCAAGAATAATTAGATGCTCTGTGCAACATATGTAGGTTTGGAACATGAAAACCACTCGGCAGAGACCACTTCTGCTTTGAATGATTTCTGGCTCTGTGTGAAATAATTCTGCAAAGAACTGGCATGGCTACTGTTTTTGTAGAAAAAAAAGAAAGGAAAATGAGGTTTTAACTTGTCATAATCCTTTACTTAGTGCCAGGCTGTTTTCTGACACAAATCTATAAAGCCTCATGATTTTTATTTTTCCTACTTCTATTTGATTTGAATTGCAAAAGTGATTCATAAAGTATTTCTTCAGCTATTTAAACATTTCAAAGTCTCATAAGGTACACTCAGTCTTGACTCTTTAGCCCCTTCAAACAGCATCTACACACCAAGAGTCTCCTCAGCCTACCCAGCAACAAAGGCTCTTCTATTTGATCTCTCACAAGGCCAGCTCCAAGCTTTGGGAATACTCACAGGCTCCTGCCCACTTACCCACCTGCCCACTTGCCCTGCCCTCTCACAAACTGACTTCTGCTCCTCTCTTTTCTTTGTATACGTATGTGTGTGTGCACATGCACATGCACACATATGTATAGGTACACACATGCATGTGTACATGTGTGTGTGTGTATGTTCCTGTGGAGGCTAGAGGACAGACAACCTCAGGTCTCATTTCTCTAGCACCTTCCAGTTTTTGTTGAAGACTGTCTCTTGCTGGCCTAGAACTTTGTCACATAGGCTACGCTAGCTGGCCAAGAAACTCCCAGGATCTGTCTGTCTCTTCCTTCTATCTCAACATCACCAGTATTACAGGAGCATGCCACCATGCCCCTCTTTTTACATTGGTTCTGGGGATCAATAGCTCAGATCCTCATACTTGTGAG